CTAAATGATTTGGCCGGGAAATTAAACCACTTATAAAATGTATTTGGAGCGTAAACACATCTGCAAACAGCTGTTTTACAGTCCTTTGCAAATGGAGCACTGGTGGAGAGCTGGTGACTAATGGCGACGTGGTTGGGGGGAAAGTCCACTTGAAAAAACTTATTACACTTACTTGCATTTTCATTTAAACTAGCCACGGAATGCTTGTTTCCAACCATCTAATGCTTAATCTTGGGTACTGCCAGTGTTGCATCAAAAGTGAACAGCACTGCAATTTGAATTTCTCCTCCATAAATAGGTAAACAACGCTATATGTACTGATGAAAAAAACATGTGTAACACTAAACAAAGCTGGTAATTGAGAAACCCCATATTTTTACTGGCATAATGCAGATATAACATGACCACATACAGTCCCAAAGTAGTGAAATTAATTCCAACAGGTAGAATAGCACTGACAATAACATCATTAATCCTTTTGTTAACCAGCAACACATCATATGTGGCTCTATAGCTCTACTTTCAGCCATGCTAGCAACCTGGAGAGTAGTCTGTGAAGATGTCTAAACAGCCTCAATGAAGCAAGATGTCTGGTATGCAAACCAAAATGTCATCAAGTGCATTTTTTTTATTAGTGGTACTGATTTTTAAGTTTTTTATACAACAGAATAGCCTCAGCCATGTTTACATGTGTCACATGTTAGCAGGCATTTCAAGTTCACTTCATCAAGAGAAGCAGAAACAGAAACACTCCAAGCACAGTCGCTTTTGTGGCCACTCGGACCACTTGGGATGTCTGAAACTCTGCTGTTTCACACAATTTTATTTGTCATCAAGTTTATCTGCAGTGTAGATAGTGTACTGTATGAACCATTCTCATGGTCCCGGCTTCACAAGCCTTCATTAGATGAAGAGAGGGGCTCACTGGTCAGTCCCTTCAGCATATGACTCCAAACATTGTTTTCCTGCTGCATACATTATACTTGTCTTTTTGTTGTTTACAAACTGCACAATATAGCCTACAGCATGTGCAGCACGTGCTAGCTAATCTGCTAGCATATTTACTGACATCTGTCTACCATTGTCTGTAGGAACTATGCTATGTGGCACAATGTTATATGAGGTGCTTCTGGACCAAATGGTTCTAGGAACTTATGGACTGTAACTTATGATGGTAAAAGTAAGAGTTAAGTAAGTTTAATTATCATTTACATTTTTATGAATGAATATTTTGTTTTCTCTAGTAGCTTAAGAGTGGTTCAGAATTAAGAGGTCATACCGAGTGTCATTTTTGCCTTCTGCATTAACCTTCATAAGTTACTTTAGATTTTCTTTATTACTCTTGTACCATCACAAAATCTGATGTTGATTTTTCAGGTGCCTGACAAGAAAAAAGGTCAAAGAAAAAACAATATTAATTTAGTGAAAAGACAATGGGTTTGTCCCAAATCACTCATTCAATGCTCCCTACATAATGTTCACTAAATACAATAGTAAAACAAAAACTGAGAATTTCGACACTTACTAATCATTATCATTTGAGTCATCACTAAGCCACACAATGATAATTTAATTTAATTTTTAATCTAATAAAACAGGAGTGTTGCATTATTGTGGGGTTGTTAGCAAAAAATAGTGTACATGGCATGTACACTACTTTTTATGTTCCATTGTAGAATTTTTGAGTGCATTATGTAGTGGATAGATTTACACACTCAGCTTTCAAACACCACTACAACATGACAAACACACTGTATAAATGATTTCAGACACAGTCAGTCTCATTTTTAACCATCACGTCACAGATGAACTGAAATTAATTTATGAAAACCTTTGAAAAATTATCATCCCATAAATAGAAAATGGTTATCTATAGGCACTTTTATACTGGAGGAACATTTTCATACTTCATAGATGAATAGTCCGTGTGATGGCAGACTTAGTAAATAAAGACAGATGAGACCTTGAACAATATGAAAGATTGTTTTATTACCCGTGCAGTGAACCATTATATATATTTCTATGACCCTCTGTAGCCGAATCCAACTACACTCTGAGCCAGAATTTATTTAAAGCATGCATACAAGTCAGATGAGGGCCACAGCCTACATATTGGATTCCTGATAACGTAATTCAGCTACAACATCTTATCTAAAACTAAGTGATTAATTAAGGGATTCTTAACTGTGATTTTCAAAACAATACAAGCTTTACAGCAGGTGTAAGGATGCTAAGTAACCTGCAAATGCCTTTAGCTGCTCACAACGCCATCATGTTAGCTGGGTATGGAATTAGTGGTGGGTTTGGGACTGCATGGTTGATGTTTGTCCCAGAGCCTTGCAGGCTCCCCACAATTGGTGAATCTGTTTACGGGTCTCATGGGACAAAAGAAATAAAACAGATACCTCATGAATCAAAATAAAACATTCTTCAAATAGCTTGCCAAGCCAACATAACAGCAAAAGTCTATTCCATCTGTGCCCATGTTTCCCAAATTGTGAAACCTCTGGCAAATGCTTCACATAATCAACTTCAGAATACAGTGACATGAATTTGCACTTTAGGAAATGAACAATTTGTTCTCATGAAGAACACTATTGTGATTTATTGAAGTCTTTTAGCAGGTATTTATCAGGATATACTGTCCTGCACTGCACTCCCGAGGCTTATACAACAGGTGTGGAACATTACTAATGAAGAAATTATGCACACAGCCACATCCTACACATGATTCTAAGTCTTGGGTGGCCATTTAGGACTAACAACCTCTTAATCAGTAACCAGAATGTGTTCTGTACCAGCTGAAACACAGTTGGAAACCAGAGAAATGAACTGTTAGTTCTGATATAGTGTTGCATCATCCCCGTCTATCCCCTCCACCAGCAATTATAATAACTCATAGTCAGTGGTCAATAAGATTTAAAGTGCACTAATAAAATATTTACCAGTGAATGCATATTAGGAGATCTAATGTGGTTGTCACTGGTAGCATTTGGATTTTGTGCTTCACATATTGTAGACAAGGGTGGATTTCATGATAAAAGACTATTTGCATGCTTAAAGCAGGAAAGGAAACAGCTGGTATAAAACGAGTTGTTTACTGTATAGTGATTAAGACAGAGAGGCCAAAAGTGTCAACGACCTCCTCAAGAATTTTAGTAGGCAGTATATCTTAATGAATTTTTAAATATAGCATCTGTCTCCATTAAAGTGCAAAAGGAAATAGCCTCAAGCTTGTCCAACAGGGCAGGAGGATCATAATGTGCAAATTGATCACCGGTGACATGACACATCTAGAGTCTGATATCATTACTTTTGTTGGTGAGTAGTGCTAAAAACATTTTTTTGTAAGCCAACACTGAGGCCAGCATGAACAACAACAGTACTCAGAGAGGGATACTTTTCGATGAGCACAGGTGTTTTCTGATCAATGTAAGTAATGAGCAGCTACAGCCCGTGCAGCAGTATCGAGTCCATTGACAGAACTGGATGGCTGGTCAGGATTTCTGTTTGCCAGGGGGAGGATGCCATTTCAGGGTTAAATCTGTCTAATAATCATGTATTTGATATGCTGTGGCCATTCTGTTGCGACCTTGGATCTTAGCAATAAGTGTGATGACTATTGTAACCAATATAAGGTAACACTTTTCAAAGGTGCACTGAGTTTTTACTAAAGAATATGTAAGACACAAATGAGGAGTTAACTGCTGTTTCATAAATAGAAAGTAGTAATGGTAGTGTCTGAATTGCATAAAGAATTATAGAGAAGATAAAAAATAAATTACTTGAGAACAGACTGATAATATTTTAATATCAAAATAAGACCCAGGTTTGTAAACCCCAGAAATTACCTTTACGTCTCTTCTTATTAAAAAGGATTCATAAGTTAGACTTAGTTTTTTTCTAGTCCCAGGTTATAAAAGACATTCTGCCATGGCTGTCATAAGAGACACAGAAACAAACAGGCTGACGGAGCTTGACTCCAGAGAAGTGCGGGGGAAAGGAATGGACAGGGGCTGTGAGGCAATAGAGAGTGCATGGCCTCAGTTCCAGAGTTGGCAGAAAGAAACATGTCCAGACCTGTTGCATCATATGACCAGACAGATACAGTCTGCATTATTAGCTTTCTGTTACTGGGCTTAGGGTCTGTGCTTCCACCAGTGTAATTTCATTAAGAACATTTCATTTCACAGCTTTCATAAACTAGGACTTATATATACACCAAGACTGACCAGACTGAGCACAGGACTAATATGACTGTGGGCTATAGAGCACTGTCTGTAGTGGAGTTCAGGTAAAGACAATTCCTCAGTTTTTATTTAATAACCTATAAGCAGTCAAATGTAAATATAGTGACAGTTACCATGCTGCAGTCAGTCTATAAAATATCCACCATCTGTAAGTTTTTAAATTCAACACTGTCCCTCCCCTTGGTTCCTGGCAAAAATATAAACGACATGGCCTCAGTGTTTTTGGTGGTGACTGCACAGCTGTGGTTGTGAAATTTGTTAAGTCATTTATCATATTGTTGTCATTCGAGAACATCTTCAAAGTATACCAAATAAATTTGCCACATTAAACGTGTCTAAAGCTTATTTCTAACATTTAATTAGTATACTCTATGTGTGGCATTATAGTCAGCTTTTTAAATGAACATACTGAGTATCTTTATGTAGATGTTATGCGTTTTATTCAGTGGGACTCTGTATGTCTGCACTTCACTTGAAAATCAGTGGAGGTACTGTGATATTCCAGTAAACTGGCTGGCAACATTTCATATCCCCGAGTTTATGTAAATGTACTGTATACAGAGCTGTTTACTGTTTCCACCAGTTGGATAGGTAGTTACGCGCGCGCGCGCGCGCGCGCGCGCGCGCGCGCGCGCGCGCGCGCGCGCGCGCGCGCGCGCGCGCGCGCGCACACACACACACACGCACACAAAGAGAGAGAGAGAGAGAGAGAGTACTCCCTCCCTCCTCCAGTTTCCTGTCAGAAAAGCGTCTGTGTGTATACACTGGGTGGGCGTATGGATGGTTAGGCAGTGAGTCTCCAGCTGCTGTGCGGAGTGGAACGCACAGCGCAGCCGACACACCAAACCCATTCCTCCAGTGGATTCTCTTTAACTTTACTTGTAACCTGAATGACAGTGTTTGGGTAGAGGACACAGAAACATGGAGGCACGGCGCTGTTCTTTATCTTTACGGGGAGCTTTGTCAGTCTTCTTCCTCACTGCCCTGCTGGAGCCTGGGAGTGACGGTGAGTTACGAACATCCTAAACACTCTGGTTGTTCACTGACCCCATTACAGTCCTCACTAATGTCAGCTTCGGTGAATTTAAACCAAACGGTCTCCGTAGTTGTATGAGTTTGGGAAACATTACGAGAGAACAGCGATGCGCAACAGGTGACTCATACTCATACACTGCTCAGCAATACTCCTACCTGCTGGACACTTCCTTTACCTAACAGCTCGTTTAAAACACCACGTGTTTTCCCACACAGAATAGATTAGAAAGACTCAGTTACAGGACTCTCTCATGTCCATAAAATAGGATCCGTTTAGAAAATTTCGTGGTTCTGTTACATTATTGCCAAGTTATTTATGATAAAGTATAGATCGGTAACTGTCGATGCATCTGAAGCTTCGTTTAAAGCGGTCCTAACATTGGCCCTAAAATCGTAATTATTTCCCAGTTAATATGAAAAATTGATGTTCATATTAACTGGGAAATAAATTAGTTGTGAATGTGTTCATCTTTTATTGGCTCTTTACACTCGGGTTTCGTCTTCTTCTGCATCTTTGCTGAACACCTCAGCCTAGTTTTCTCCTTCTCCCAGCTTGAAAGGAGCACTCCAAGTTTATACATGATGATCACTTCACTTGTCAATAAACGTGTGGTGCAACCCGTGTAAACATTGTGTAATCCCCTCGCTTGAAGGGAGCTTTGTAAAGTGTGAGAAAATAACCCTGGTGATGTTGTCAGGATTATCTTAGATTTATGACTTCAAATTGTTAACAAAACATGGTGTTATGGACTAGAGATGAAGAGTTTGAAAGACATGGACATTTACCAGGCAGTTTCTAATAAATGATACACTGAATTGTATTAAAATCACTGAAGGGTTTTAATGGTCTTGCTCCTGGACTTTCGGGGACTAAAAGTCCAAGAACGTTGACCTCTGCTGTGCCGATTTTGATCATTCTTCTATTTTTAAAGAT